TGGGAAAGAGTTAAAGTAGTTAGAAATATGAGGACTTAATCTTTATTACGATCATCTTTGTAATCTTTCCTATTAAAAAAAAAAAAAAAACTATTCGTTGGAGCCCTTCCCTCCATGTCATATACATATAAAACACCCCATAATAGTTCTCACACAAATCCACAATTACCTAAATAATTGGCGAAAAACACAAATACCAAACAACGATAATTTAGCCTTAGTGTGGGTTCCCTTTTGCTTCCTGTTTCTTCAACTTTTGAAGGCCAATTAAGTTTCACCATAATTACATATACCTTAGAGATAATACACTATAGGGTTATCATAATTATTTGTCATTCAATGCATCTTTTGCGTTTATCATCTCATTGTAAGATGATACTTCTTCTATCTCAACTATCGTATTATGTTATGTTATAGAGAAAAAGAATAATAATTTGATAAAATTAACTTCATAATTATTATTTTTTTATTAGAAATAATATAACACAAAAATCATTCTTTATATAATATTATTAGAGATATAAACAAAAAGAAGAAATTAATATAACAAAAAAAAATCATGAAAATTAAATATATTTAATTATCTTTCATAAATCACGTAAAATTAATTTATTTTTATATATAGATTTAAAAATAATAATATAGTTATTTGAAGACTTATTTGTTTTGGTTGAAGTTAAGATGAAAGGGAGAGTAGGTAGCAGTATTGAAGCGGAGCAATTGATAGGGTTTTCGTAAATAACGTGAGAAGCATTGAGAAGGTTGTAGTTGTTCTTCATCCCATACTATTATTACTGAGGCAACATTTGACACTTGTTTGCTCAAACAAATTTTGAGAGGTTGCATCCCGGGTGTTTTCACCATTCTCATATATATCAACTCACACTTTATATTCATTTATCAAACAAGGGAAAAAGCAATCATATTCATCGTCATCGTCATCCATATTAAATTTCAAATAATTTCAACTCTTTAATATATTATTTAACAATAAATATTTATATAAATTTTAAATATATATCATTTTATACATTAAAAAAATAATAAAATGTCAATATTTATTATATTATAGTTCCCTATTGTCACATAGAAAAATTAATTTTAATTTGTTTAGACAATTTCAAAATGCACTTCACTGTTGTTATTTCGTCGTACTCTTCACATGCACCATTTTTAGATTGTGGAACATTGGCTTAGTTGTCGTCAACGGTGGAGCTGGATTACTAGCCTCCCTTCTCTAATTAGGTGTCCTGTTTGTTGTTGTTATAACAATCACAATAAGTGACAATGATCTTGATGGTCTTGAACCAATTGGCACAATTATTCTTGGTCTTAAAAGAGGCGACATTGGTGGTGACACTAACAAAGTAATGGGTACTCTTGTAGTGCATGAACTCTTACATAATGAGGGGGTAACTAAGTGTGAAGTTAAACTCCTCCATAATAAGATAGTAACCTTGTAAAAGCGGTGATTATTGAGAACGAAGTCGACACTATTGTCGAGATAATGAATTATGAGAAGTTGTTGCTTGTTAGGTAGATTGAAATTTGGATTGAGAATTTGAGAGGTTTAAGATTTACAATACGAATTTTGATTGAAGAGAAAAAGTGTGATCAGGAGGGTGAGGGTGTCATAAAGTACATTTTAAAATTGTCTACAAAAATTTAAAATCAATTATCTATGTAACAATGGTGAAGTGGAATTTATAAAAAAAAAATTGCTACAAGAAGTTTACATTAAAGGAAGGCACGACCCATGCAAGGCCAAAACCCACCACTAACCTCTTTGAAGATTTTTAATGGAATTATAGATCATTTATTCATCCTTAACACAAGTCCACGTGGAAAAATATAAAACATGCGGGAAGCCAGATTTAAAATATATCAATAGTAATTGACACAATAACAATAACAACTAATTTTGAAACATTATAAAAGGTTAGAGATGAAAATTACAAGGACCAAAAGTGAAAAAGTAGTAAACAACAAGAATAAAAATTATATTTAAATCTGTAATTTGTTATAAATTTTAATTATATATAAAAACATGTCTTTGCATTGCACAAACTAAAATACTTCTATATATATATTATGGATGAAAAAATAAAGAAAAAAACTTACAAAAATCAAAATCAAAATCAAAATCAACTCCTTTTACAAGAAATAAAAACATATTTAAGTACTATATTTATAAATATAAAAACACAATACTTCTTTTAATAACTTTCTTTTGACTTTTTTTTTAATTTGACACTTTTACTCCTAATTTCAAACTTCACTTTATAATTTAGTTTCCACACATTTTAAAACCACCCACTCTTACTGATCTATTGTTACCTACTCTCAACTATCAATTTTTTTTTCTGCTATAACTATCTTGTCTTAAAATTCCTCAAAAATAAATATTTACATATACATAGTATCTCTTTTTCCAGTTAGTTTGAATAATAGTATTTCTTTTCTTCAAAAAGTATCTTAAACGAGTTAGAAGAAGACTTCTCTAAATTCTCTAACTACAAGAAAATTTTCACATTACATGAGAATTTTATTGCGAATTTTCAATAAAAATCCACAGGAAACATATTTGGTGCAGATTTTAATCCGCATGTAATGTTTGATAAATCTTGTGATTGTAGCAATTGCTGGTATTGTAATCACGGCAGACTCTACATACACAGTTCAAGCAGCTGCTTCAGCAGCGGAAGAGACCTTTCCAAGAACATAAACAGGATCTCCAACTTTAATGATGTTTCCACTCCCTTTAACAGAAGACTCCATCCTGTTCCATACCATATTCTGACCAAAGTAGACCTGCACAAGCAATTCACATGTCATTAAAACTAAAGGAATGTTCACCGAAAGCTTAGAGCATATTTGAATATAAATCTAGAACTTCTTTTAAGAACTTCTTTATTGAAAAACACTATTTTTAGTAGAGAAACTCTTAAAAGTCCCTCTAGATTGCATTCAAATAGGTTCTTGGTGACTAAGTGTCTCACCTTGTTTTTGTTTTTCGCATTTGGTCTAATGACTTTGCCAGACCTAGTTTTCATAAGAGTTTCAGATGGCTCAGATCCGGCTATACCAGTCTCTTGATTGATTGTAGGTACCTGACCATAATCAATATGCAAGTTGGACACAACCAAACTCAGAAATCGTAGATCAGTGTAAACATTATCCATGCAATATCTTAGGTTTGTAAAAAAATAGTGTAGTGAGTAGATCAAAGATTGATAGATAGAAGTGTAGGTGTACAACTAATAAGAAATGTAAAAAATCAGGGTAAGAAAAAAAAAAAGAGCTACAAACTAGTTTATTAAATATTGAGCCAGGGAGAGATGTAATCCCTTGCCCCATAATCCCATTTTGCAAGAGCAGAAGTATCCTTATGTCTCATCCTAGAATTATAAAAGCTATGACCCAATTTTTTCTGATAATCATGTTATTAATACAAAGTATTCATTGACTTTATTGATGCGATAACCAATTTCCACCAGAGAACCTAATTGACCACTTTTAGTAGGTCTCTTCTTTCAGCTACGTTTTTTCCATTCACAAAACTTGAATTCAAGAATTTATTTTAAGAGATGAAGTCTAATTCTACTTGGACCAACAAGTTATTAGTAATATGCATATGATCCTGGGCACTATCCTAATATCCAACAATTATGAAGTTTCATAAAGCCGTGTTTGTTTTAGAATGACATAAAAGACGATGATGACAAAGAGATCGAGTTTAATTTCACTTCAACTAATTAGTATCTAATCCAATTAGTAATTTGCTTATGATCCTGAGCAATAATCTAACATCCAACAATTACGAAGTTTCATAAAGGCATGTCTGGTTTAGAATGATATAAAAGATGTTGATGACAATTGACAACATCCCACTGAATTGAAAGTGATGTATTTGCTTCTTTATCTACGAAAGGCTCACAACACTATCCAAGCTCGGCCCACCATGATTCAATCAATGTAAATTATACTGGTACATGTCAGAAACTAAAATTGTTAGCATAAGTAACCTGGTACATGTCTCAATGGAGCATAATGATAGGTAGGAATTTATAAAGTAGAACTCTTCACCTTACAACGGGAGCACAATTTGACACCCAGAAAGGAAAAGCTGCTTATCTTGATCTCTGTCCACAAGTCTTCAGAATATGGATCACAACCTTCAACAAGGATACTGCATCATGAAGCACCCGAATCTCAATTATGTGATTTAATAATCCATTTAGATAAAATAGTACCTTCAGGTCTAAATTAGTAACAAATATTGTGAAACAATACAATTGCAGGAATAGAACAAAAGAAAATGAAAAATCCATACTTCGGTCTGAAACGATTAATAAGCATAGGTTCCTTTAGAAGCTCGTTTAGTGCATCCAATGATTCCTGAAAATCATAAATGTCAAATACTGAGTAGAGAATCAGAATATAAGTAAAATTATAGTTCATTTCCATACTTGACTGACCTTAGATAAAAGTAAGAATCGATAACCATCAGAGAAATAGGTGTGATGCTTGCTCCCAACATAATCAGGATCTACTTGTCTAACTTCCGAAGCTTCATTTGGAAACATTAAAGAGGTTTGTCAATCATCATAATGTTTTGTTTTTCTTTTTCTGAGCCATACTTGACAAGTGACAACTACAAGACAATTTCATATATGTGCATCTTGATGAATCAATGCAAGTTGATATACAGTGGCCTGAGTTAATCCAAGTAATGTTCTTGTATTCTTAAAACAGTTATAGTTCTTTACCAAATCATTACATGTCTAAGGTAACATACCCTTCTCGACAATTTTAATGTTCTCATTAACTTAAACTTTAAGGTTTAATAGTTTCAAAGACCTACCAGTATTGAAGCGGACCAGTTGACAAGGTTTTCCTAAATAATCTGAGAACCACCGAGACGCCTCTGCTCCTTCATCCAAGGCAGACCCAGTCCATTCCCAGACTGTGACAGCATCTGTTACTTCATGTTGCTTACTCAAACAAATTTTTAGAGGTTGCATCCCAGGTGCTTTCAGCACTGTAATACGAAGGAAATGAGACTTCATATATATTTACTAAAACACAAGAAAAACAATCATGATCATGAACAATGAGCAAAAGCAAAACTGTATCATCATTTCAACTACAGTAATTTTTTTCTTCAAAACACAGAACACAAGGATAGCAACTGTCAAATGAGAAATGATTTTTCTTTTTCTTTTTTTATGTACTGTGCACATCAAGTTCAGAAACAATAACCACTTATTCCCGAATTAAACATGGCAACTTTCTAATGGAACAACCATTGTTTATGGGCTTCATCACAAGAACCGAGTGAAAAATCATTTTTCTTCGTAATAGATTTTTATGATTCTTAATAAGGTTTTTGGTAAAAACAAGGAGGCTGAAGTTTTTCAGAGCATGCAGTTTATGCAATCATCGAATGCATTTGGTTGGCCGACATCTTTAATGTTCCATCCTTACCTTGTGCGGCAAACCCCCTAAGCATACCCTTTCCAGAAGGATCCACTCCTTCATACCAAACACACATTATGCCAAAACTACAAAATCCTTGTTTCAAGGGAGTTTCAATTTCTTTTATGCAGAGAGACAAGTTCAGCAGACAGCCTCAGTATCTTGAAAGCATCTTATCCTCTCGCTAATTTTAATTTCCATCTTTCCTCATTCATACAATTTCATTTATTTATTTTTTAAAAAAGCCTTAATTGCAATCTTAGGTAAATCCATTGGAAAGTTGTCTTAATTATGGCCGTTGGCCAGAAAGAGTTACCTACAGAGAGTTGACTGGAAAGGCCAAGTTAAGTGTCATCAGGAAGCTGTTCTTAAGCGATTGTCTCACATTTATAGGTGAACCCTCATCTCAAAATCCAGTTTTTTTGAGTTAGGCCCGAACTCAAATTATAAGTTCAAATTCTAAGACAATCTATCCAATAGAAAATAAATAAAGATATTCTCTTCTTTTTTTATCTATGAGGAACTTATGGATTGAGAAAATGTAATCTTAGTCTTACCCATATAGCAATCGTGGGTAGGTTGATAGTCTTCAAGGAGTGCATCAGTTGGCAGCTGAACCTCAACCAAAGCAAGCTTTGGATCAACTCTTTGAGTGCATGCCCTCCCTTGGGAATTCACCACCACCCATTGCCGATCCCATCGAAGTCCTTTCACACAACACAATTGAAACTACATAAAATTAGCAAAAGTGTTACAAACATTGATGATTGGAGTAAAAGGAAAGAAAGGTTACCGGCAGGTGTGAGAGGGACATGGGAAAGAGAAATTCCACGGCATGACTTGATTGGGTATATGAAAAGGCCTGAAACTTTGGCTGAGGGAATCGTTGGTGCAAATTCTGAAGACCCCATTCTCGCTGATGTAATGCTTTCACTCTATATCCGTATTACTACCATCATAAAGGAGCTAGTTTTATTTTTATACAACTCTCCCGAGAACAGAACAGAACAACACCACACACAAGGAGTCACGTCACAGTTCCAGCACTGACAAAAACACGTTTATCTTGATCAACTAAATGAAAGCATGTCACATTTGACTTATTTAAATAACAATTAACATTTTTTTTACAAAAAATGTTAATAACATGTTTACTAGTTACAGAAATATTAATAACATATTTACTAGTCATGTGCTGTGTTAAACACTTAAATTGTGTGCTTGGTTGTGAGGAGAGAATTTGATAAGAAATAAGGTGGAGAGAAATTATAAAAAAAAAAAAAAGAAGAGAAATAAGTGAATAGATATGAGTAAGAAATATTGTGAAAATGAGTTTGTTTAATTTAAGATAATTATATAAGAAATAGAAGAAAAATAATATTATAATTTTTTTATTTAAATGGATACAAAAAGATCATAATTAAAGAAAAATTATTATTTTACTCTTTCCTATTACATACCACAAGTTTATTTATTTGGTTATATTCAAGTGCAAGATATGGTTATTTGAATCAAATATTAAGTCCATGCATTCATTTGAATACAACAACCAAGCATTCAAATACAAAATCCATCATTCGAATAAAGATCACACTCATTCAAATACAATTTTGAAAGTCTACATACACCTTCGAATAAAATACCAATTATATTTGAATAAATGAAACCTCCTTCAAATAAAACATCAACCATAGTCAAATAAACAAAATCTCATTCAAATAAAATATCAAAGAAATGGAAATCATTCGAATAAAACACAAAGAAGTAAAAGTGTATTCGAATAAATTTTTAATAAGTAGCACAATTCGATAGTGTATTCAAATGAAAAAAAAAAAATTGACGATATTAAGAAACGCGATCCATTGTGACTTGTGAGGTTAAATAAATAGCCCAATTCAAGTGGAAAAACTTTATTCTAATAAAAGATCCATGTGACCCACTCTATTTGAAGTTTTGAAGGGATAAAAGCATAAGAAAAAAAAAACTAATCTCTCTCTTTGCTATTTTCACTCAATTTTGATAAGAAATTTACAGACTTAAAACTCATATCGACAAATTTAAATGAGTAGAAATATTTCAACTGAAATATTTTTTCTCTTTCCACGCTATTTTTGATCAAAACAAACATAATATTAAGGATTTCAATTGAAATATTTCTTCTCTTTTCACACTAAATATTAAGGAGTGACACATACAAGGCAAAAAAGAAAATATCAAGTGATCAAAATAAAGAAAAAAAATAGGGAAACAAAATGAAATAAAAAGTAATGATTTTTTTTAATCTAATCAAATCACAAATAAAATCAAATGAAAATCACACAATACCTAACAAAAGCACCAAAAACTTGATATTGGATAACTATAAGTAGTGTACGTATCATCAAATAATAAAACTATTAAATCCATGTCAATTGTGTTTTATGATTATGTAATTATTGTAATTTAATTTAATATTAAATAATTTAATTAAATATTAAATATATGTGTAAAGGGTAATTTCATATTTAACTTTTTAAGAAGATAATTAAAAGAAGATATTTCAAGAAGGTGATACCAATTGATGTAGATAATATTTTAAAATATCCCAAGATTAAGATTTGTTTATTGAGCTACTCCTATTAACCTAATATTACTCTAACCTAATAATACTATATTTATTTCTCTTCAAAAAGTCTTTATTCTCTACTTCTCTTTCAATATATCAAGAAGTATCCAATTGAATTGAACCACAATATATTCTTTTTGTGCACAGCTATTTCCTTTGGTCATTAGTGTGGAAGTAGTTGACAAGGACAAATATACAATACATCTATCTTCCAATGTCTATTGGCCAATTATTGGCATTTGGCTAGTAAATGATAAATAACCACAATTGTCTAAGGTGTCTATGTTTTCATATGCTTATTCTACTTGTTGTAAATGGGTAGGTACCATTTGGACCTATATTAATTTTACTATATATTTATCTTGTTATTAAATGTATAATTAAATTAACTTATATTATTGTAGTAATGTTCAATTAAATTCATTATGTTTATGTTAATTTGTTTGATCTTTGAAGGATTAAATATATTTTTATAATTTAAAATTTAAGTCTAATTCTTAGTGTTCCAATATTTAGGTTTATTTTTCAGTTTTTTTTCTTAAATATCTAAGATTATGAAAAATGGTGACCAAATGTTTTACATATATAGAACAATAAGAATTAAGATCAAGAGGAGAAACTAAACAAGAATATAAAAATATTTTAATTATACATCAATAAAGGTTAATGGATAGGCCTCAATCCTAAAATAAGACAAGGAAGAGAAACATTCAAACCAAGGACAAATGAAAAAGAGAAGAGAAAAAATTGTCTCAAATCCTCTACCTAGAGCTATCACCTCTCCTAGGGTTTCCCTTGATTCTGTACTTGTCAAAATAAACTTTCAAAGGTTTTTTTTAACCTAAGTATCAAATGGGCTAAAACTCATTAAAATTAAAACATAATCACAAATGTTAAAGATCATTATATCATTATATTTTGACTCCAAAGTCACACACTTAGTCACTCCCATTTACAGTTAGTCTACATAAAATGATAGAAGAACATAAGGCAATAAAGTGCTATTTTCATATAATTCATGGGTGAACCACTATATTATTATCATTGGATGTAATGAACGATGTAAATTTTCCTATTATTTGAATAATATAATAATTAAAAAATATATTAAAAGTGGACAAGTCATTTTTATCCTTTCCCATGAACACCACCAATCTCCTTTCTACACTTGCATTGCTCCTCTTCCTTTGACTTTCGTGGTGGCCATTGACACCATGTACTCAAGCCCATCCAACAACGACAACCCTACCACTCCCATCGAAATTTGCATGTACCCCACCAATATTTTGCAACCGCCCCATTGTTCACTACATTGTCACAACCCACCAGCAGTCCCCTAGCTGCTATTCTAGTGCGTAGGGCAACATGGTGTGTCACGATGGAGGCCTTAATGTCCTCGTCTTCCTTGGAGGCAATCGAGAATTCAAGAAGGGTTGGTTTGGGAGAGGGAAAGGAAAAGAAGGGTTTGGAATGACATAATTGAAGACTTGAAGTCACATGCTTTGGTGGAGGAACACAAGGATTGGTTGAGGCCAAATAAGCTAATGAAGCAAATGAAGGAGGTGATGAAGGAGAAGATGACGACGATCTCAACGAGGGTAACAATGTGGACAGGGTGGAGGAGCAGACCTAATCATGCAAGCAATGGAGGAAGGTTACTATTCACTTACTAACTATAGTAATCACTTATTTATATTTTATCTCCATTAGACCCAAAATACTTATATGAATTATTAGTTGTCTAATTTTCATTTAACAGATTTCAATTTATGTAGGTCAATATTTTTAATGAAAAATTCTAGTTATAGATAACATTTTGTTGAAAGGAGTAAAATTTTTTAAATAAAAAATTACGATTATAAAATTTTATAACTTTTAATAAATTTTTAAATAAGGAAAAAATATGTTAAAAAAATTATATTATTTTTATTAATTTTAACTTATTCTTTTTAAAATCATGATATTAATATAAAATAGAAATATTTATTATAAAAAGTAATAACTAGTTTTCACGTACACATTAAGAATCTTTATAATAACTAGCATACAAAAGACATTCTATACTTCGATGAATTATTTGTAAAAAATAATAAATAATATAAATTATATTATAATAAGTAATAATTAAAAATATAGGCAATTTATAGAATAAAATTTATAAAAAAGATAAAAAAATTATAATTTATAAGAGAATAATTATAAAAATAAAATTAGATAAAAAAAAAGTTCATGAAATATTAATAGATTATAGATTTATTGTAATAACTAATTAAAATAGTGTGAAATGTAAGATATTTTGGTGTAAGAAAACATAAGAGAAAGATAATGTAACGAGCATAAGGCTAAGGAGGGGCAAAAGCCGGCCCAAGAGGTTAGAGAACCTCCCACCTTATAAGGCCTCCCTGGTAAGGAGACCTTTCCGATGTGGGACTTGTTACAGATAAGCTGTAGTTAAAGTTTGGACAAAAATGTGAGTTTAGAATGTCTGTTGAAAATGCATTCCTATCTTAGCCTTACCCAACCGCCACTCCCTAAATCTGATACTAATTTTCAACAATGGAAACACGATATGCTCGTGGCTCTGGAAACAAAGAACAAAGAACACTTTATTCTTGGCAAGATTCCATGTCCAGATTCAAAAGATCCTTTGCATGAGGCATGGCGTCGCTGCAACAAGATGGTAATGTCATGGTTAACGCGATCTATGACCTCTGACATAAAGCAATCTGTCATGTGGATGGATACCGCTGCTGAAATTTGGAAAGATCTTTGCGATCGTTTCACCCATGGCGACAAATTCAGAATTGCTGATCTTCAAGAGGAGGTACAACAACTCAAACAAGGTGATCTCTCTGTGTCTCAATACTATACTCGTTTACGAATTCTTTGGAAGGAATTATCCATGTATCGCACGATTTTGGTATGTAAGTGTTCAGTTACGTGCTCTTGTGGTCTTATTGCCAAGATTCAAAAAGAACGTGATGATGATTGTGTTATTAAATTTCTACGAGGCCTTAATGATGAATTTTCCCAAGTCAGATCTCAAGTGATGTTAATGGAACCTATGCCTGATATGGTTCACACTTTTTCCTTGATACTTCAACAAGAACGTGAATTTGGTGGATCAAATTCTCAAGAGTCTATAGCTTTAGCAACAATTAATTCCGATTCAACCAAAACTACTTTCCCAAATAGAGGTGGCTTCACTAATACTCGTGGTGGTGGAAGATTTGGCAGAGCTAATGGTAGAGGAAACAATAAAACCACAAAATTCTGCACTAACTGCAGAAAAACCAACCACAACATAGATACATGTTTTCAAATATATGGATTCCCTCCTGGCTACAAAAACAACAACAATCTGCCTTCTAATTCCACAAAATCTTCTGCCAACAATGCTGAAACTGAATCCACAAGCGTTCAAGATACTTCTGTACTGGAGGAAACTAAATCTCAGAACAAATTCTATTTCTCTCGGGATGAATATCAGGCTCTTTTAGCTCTTCTTCAACAACCCCCAACCAATAATTCTTCTGTCAACAGTGCTTATCAAAGCACTGATAATCATCCAGGTATTCCTTCTTTTCAACCTAGATGGATATTGGATAGTGGTGCCACTGACCATATTTGCCCCTCTAAAGCTAGTTTTAATACTCTTACACCCATTAAACCTATATCTATTAGACTACCTAATAATCAATACTCTGTTGCTAGCTTTACAGGCACCATTCATCTTAATAACTTGGTTCTCCATAACGTTTTATATGTACCTGACTTCACAGTACATTTGATTTCAATTCCAAAACTTATTGCCACCAATGATTGCATTGTGGTATTTTGTCAAAACAATTGTATTATTGTGCAGATACCT